TAAGAGAGCAAGATAAATTATAGTAATTTTGGGACATTCTATTCTAGGGCCTGATAATTTGTTTATGTTCTAAGTTGCATATTTCAAAGCTACATAAATTAGTATTTGGACAACCAGCTTCATGAGAAAAAAAATATATACAGTTACTGTGCCATGGCACCTGAGTGAAAAAGGCTTCAACCATGACATGCTAATTTACATTTTTTAACAAAAATAACTAAAATGTAAAAATTAAAAACTTCTTAAATAAATTTTCTATTTTATTTTTAGTTAAACATAAAACAAAATGTGAGTAATGACTGGAATGAAATGTTTAAAATAACAAAATCTACACAACCACTCTTTCTAGCTATTTTTAATTTTTTTGAGTAATGATTAGGATGAAATGTTTAAAATAACAAAATCTACACAACCACTCTTTCTAGCTATTTTTAATTTTTTTGAGTAATGATTAGGATGAAATGTTTGAAATAACAAAATCTACACAACCACTCTTTCTAGCTATTTCAAAGGAGTTATGATATATGTTTATGAATGTAGAGAAGTTGTGATATAGTTTTGAATAAGTTATAACAGATTATACTTTCAGTCCAAATTACCTTTGTATTATTAGTTTGACAAGCACAACACTTGTAAAATCCTTCAAAAAAGTTATATAACGATAAGATAGAAATATACGACTGTCAGATCATTAATTTATTTCAAGTGTAATAAAAAATTTGTATGTAGTTTCTTCTAGAAAACACTTTTGTTGGATTCAGAAAAAGACACGGTACTCAGTGACTTGCTGGTGTCCATGAACATTAAAAAGCAGGTGATTTTAAACAGATTTGTAACTACTCCACTTTTAACCAACAAAAAAAAAGGTAAATGATTGTTACCAAAGACTTCAGAAGAGAATTTAATTGTTAAATGTTGTAAATTTTGTAAGATTAAGGCTTATAATTATTCAGTTTGAAACATTATCTACATATATAAAGATGAAATGTGTGTTTGTTTGCATCCTAATTTCTCTGAGCTTATTGGGTCAATCTCAACCAAAATGTGTATGTAAACACTATGAACTATGGGAAATGTCCTAAGGGGTCAAAATTAAACTTAACACTATTTCTATTTTGTAAAGCTTATTGGTTAATTACTCCCAGTCTATTGAGTCAATTTCAAACAATCTTGGTAAGTTGACGCTTTAGACAATGTTGAATATTCTAAAGGGATTCAACATCAAATTATGAAAGTTACTGAACTGTTTATCAAACAACCATGCTTTTGTCATGGTCATTGATATGTAGGGTGTTCAAGGGTGGAATCAGCTCAAAATCTTTATTTGCTGGTAGAAGTAAAACAAACTGTAAATGTAGTTTATGAAGTAGCTTTGTTGTAACCTTATGTACAAGTTATTACTTTTAAATATATGTTTGTTGTTAAACTTAGATTGTATTAATTAAAGAGCACCCCAACTACAAATAATTAATCTACTAGTAAGAAAGATGTATACTTCTTTTTCTCAATGGTTATTTCAATTATAACCGTGACAGACGTGTACAGTCGACTTATTTTTTACTTCTTTCTAAGGAAAATATACAAATTTCTTTTTTAAACTACAGTATTTTCATCAGACAACTAGTATCAAACAACATTTTGTTCAGATTACCTTGTATACAAAGTTCCAATTCAAGAACAGCAGAAAACTACTGGAACAAGTTTTGAAATGCTATCATATTTATTAAAGATTTCCACTGTATATATGCTCTTCATTAAAAAAAAGTATTTTACATGTGTTTCTTGACCCTTATGTTAACACAAGCTGAAATACCCGTCAACTGATGGGGAATGTTTAAATGGTTAAAACGTAAGGCATTAAAAAAATGACAGAGATCAAAACTAAAATAAACATACAAGGGAAACCAAAAAGAAAAGTTTTATCTATTTGCCTTGATAATATTTTTCATGAGCACATGAACAAAACGTTAGCATTTAATATGACATACAGCAGATTACATGACAGAAAAGTTGGAAATAAAAAATCACAAAAAACAAAGGTAGTATTCATTCATGAAGTCCTGAATGCTGTTTCACAGGTTGGAGTAATTCATTCATGTGTACTGTGATGTGTTTAAAACACCTTGTGTACAGATAAATCTTATTCTAAGCTTGATCATGACGATAAGAGATTTGATAAACTTGTTTATACTAAATAGTACTTCAATTTATCGTCTGTTTGTTATGAAACACAAAGCTACACAATGAAATATCCCTATTTTGTCCCTTTGCAAGTATTGAAACCAGATCTCTAGTGTGAAAAAGCCCTCAGACTTACTGCTATGCCACTAGGGGAGCACAGCAATTTGTGACTTGAATACAATTCAATAAATTTTTATTTTTGCAACTAGACACTTGAAACAGTAGAAAATATGAGTTAAGTTCAAATATAAAATAAATCTTAATAACATGATTTTAGAAAGCAACACTTTAACTTTCAGAAAATTATATGAAATTCTTACTTGAGGTCTGGATCCACCACTCCTGCTTGAAGTTACGTTGACAGTAACATCTGTTACTGTGGTGATGGCAGCAGTATCTATGATAGCACTCATAGCTAAGGTCGAAGCTGGCCGCAGAGTTTCCTTTGCTTTCTTTGTTCAAACAAAACAAGTTACTACAATGTTACATGTGCACAATCAATGGACTTATGAACACTGATAATACATTCAGTTCTGTCCTTAGATCATTATAAATAGTAATACTCATTTTATGATTAGCTATGAAATGGAGTTCTGAATGTCAAATTTAATAACCTAGTTAAGTTGATGACAAGAAATAAAGAAATATACACACTCCTACGTAAATAAAGATACCTACACACTCCTACGTAAATAGATACATACACACACACCTATGTAAATAAAGATACATACACACTAATACGTAAATAAAAATACATACACACTCCTATGTAAATAAAGATACATACACACTCCTATGTAAATAAAGATACATACACACTCCTACGTAAATAAAGATACATACACACTCCTATGTAAATAAAGATACATACACACTCCTACGTAAATAAAGATACATACACACACCTACGTAAATAAAGATAC